TAGAAATGGAGATGGAATTGAGAGGGGTTGTGACGATGGTGACCTTGACGCCGCGGGAGGCGAAGAGCTTGGCCATGTCGACCATGGGGATGATGTGGCCGTGAGCCAAGAAAGGGAACAAGAAGACGTGAAGCTGAGTGCCGTCACTGCCCATTAATGCCGTTTCGATTGAAGAAATGAAGAAAAAGAGTTGCAGATCGTGAAGAACAGAACAGGAAGAATGGAGAAGAAGGAAATGGAAGTGGAAATTTATAGAAGTTGAAAGAGATGACTGGAATTGTTTCTTGGCCATTACGGAATAAGAAATTTGGGTTTTTGGGGCATTAAAATTGCGTTCTACATTGATTTTTCCCTCTTCTTTTTCTTTTTAATTGAATGATTCAAAGCATCTTAATTTTATAATAAATCATGGACGTTCGTTTTGTCTTTCTGTTGTATTAGTTCTTTTTAAAATAATAATAATAATAAATTAAGAACTAAGCTTTGATCTTATCCATGAATAAAGTATCTTAAATTATTTGAATTTAGAGGCTGACAAATCACAAATGTCTGAAACTATTATTTAAAAAAATGTTTTTATTACCTAAAATAAAAAAAAACATATTTATCAATATTAAAAAAAATAAGCTACCTATTGATACATATATTTGAGTTACTTTTAAAGAGTTTGGACACACGTGATGGCCAAGCATGTGAATATACAATAATTTTTTTAAAGTCAAGTGTGATAACGTAAGCAATTGCGTCATGCAGCCTGCCCGCTGACTTAAATGGATTTCCCCGGTAGAGTATCGAAACACACAAAATGTAAAAGATTCCAGACTTTCTTTTTTCCTTGGAATGAAAAAAAAAAATTTAGTACAATTATTTAAGACAGGAGATCCAACTTTCCACCTTCGAGGAAAGGTTATACCTATATTTATTGAAAAATCTAAGACTTGGCAACCACATAAGCACATTCTCGGGGTTGACTATTTTTCCTTTTATTTTTTTTTCTCTTTTGACACAAAATATCAACTTCAAAGTATATATTAATTTAGTCTTGTGAAATTTTAAAATTGACATTTTTTGTCTGTGAGATTCAAAAGATAGTTCTAAATGTTCATTGATGGAGATGATTGACCTTAATAAATAAAATCATTGACATAATTCTAGAGACTTTGTTTTTTGTTTCATACTTCGATTTTGATTGATTATTTCGAAGTTTATTAATATTCATGGGTTTATCTCAAAACCAATTGGCAATGAAAAAGAGTAGTCCATGACTATTATAAACCATTGTTAGGTCTCTTTTGTTTTCAACTTGAGATTCTTAACAAAGCTTAGGTATGTATACGACTCATCCATTACTTAAAAGTTGTCACTGGGTTAGAACATTTTTCTTCCTAACTTAATTTTCCTTTCAGTTCGTGCATTTGCTGATTTAAATTCAACATCGCGTATTGACACTCGTATCCTACTACTAGAATTTGGATTTTTATTGGAGATTCTTTGGTATCTTGGAAATCAAATGAAGTCAGATTCTAAATTGTTGAACATTTCAATTCGTTGATTAAAGCATCCAGATCGGAGTATGAAGATCCATTCTCTGCAACTGCCCTCCTCGCCATATTGGCCAACTCTTTAGCTCTGTTTCTCATCTCCTCTGCTTCTTCTCCCTCCATTACTCTCCTTATCCCCTTCTCCACAGCTTCCCTTCCGATGAAATCTCCCACAGTCCTCACCCATTTCTGAACCCCAACTGGAATTCCAATTTTCAACACCTCACTCACCAGTTTCTCATTGTAAAACTGCTCCGCGGCGACCGGCCACGTCACCATCGGAACGCCGGCAGTTACTCCTTCAAGAGTCGAATTCCACCCACAGTGCGTCACGAATCCACCCACCGCCGGATGATCAAGAATCAGAACCTGCGGCGCCCACCCTCTTATGATCATCCCTTTCCCTTCAGTCCTCTGTTCGAATCCTTCCGGTAACCAATTTTGGCCCTCTTCTTCTTCTTCCTCTTTCCCCTTCCGCACCACCCATATGAACTCCTGCGCAGAAGCTTCAAGCCCAATTGCGATCTCCTTCAGCTGATCAGAGTTGAATTTGGCCATGCTTCCAAAACAAACATACACAACCGAATTGGGTTTCTTAGAATCGAGCCATTTCAAGCACTCGTGCTCGTCAATGGCGGATTCCCTCCCTCTCTGGGCTTTCTCTTGGGTTTCCTTATTGCATAAAGAAAGTGGGCCAATATGCCACGCCTTTCTTCCCAACACATTCCTGTAGCAATCAGCATACTCTGCCTCCAGCTCGTAAAAACTGTTCACAACAATCCCATAACAATCGGATTCTGACTTCTTAACCCTGTCCAAAAAATCGGTTATTTCATTTGTCACATTCGCTCGAATGAACTCCGGGAGCTGCAATCTGGTGAGATTAATCTCTCCGGGGAGATGAGGGATGAGAAAAGGCTCAGTGTCGGATGAAACACGGTTGTAAGGCTCGTGGATTCGCATGAGTTCAGAAGCAGAGAGGGAGAAAAAACCGGTCCCGTGGAAAATGAGCCTTGGGATCCCGAATTTGGCAGCGACGTCGTCTGCCCAAGGGAAGAACATGTCGGCCACAAGGCAGTGGGGGCGGTGCTCGGACACAGCCTCCTCGAATCGGAGTTGAAGCAAATTCAAAGCAGACATGAATTTGGGGAGCAAATCAGGGGTGAGAATGGAGTCGGCATTTTCACAACCATCTGGCAGGCCTGCTTCTGCAGAAGGGAATTTGAGGAGCAGAAGCTGAATCCGAGATTGAAAGTTGCGAATTGATYTAGAAATGGAGATGGAATTGAGAGGGGTTGTGACGATGGTGATCTTGACGCCACGGGAAGCGAAGAGCTTGGCCATGTCGACCATGGGGATGATGTGGCCGTGAGCCATGAATGGGAACAAGAACATGTGAAGCTGAGTGCTGCCACTGTCCATTACTGCCGTTTCGATTGAAGAAATTAAGAAAACGAGTTGCAGATCGTGAAGAACAGGAAGATGCAGAAGAAGGAAATGGAAGTGGAAATTTATAGAAGTTGAAAGAGATGACTGGAATTGTTTCTTTGCCTTTACAGATGGGTTTTCAGGGCACCAAAATTGCTTTCTAAATTGCTTTTTTTTTTTTTCTCTTTTAATGGAATGATTCAATGCATCTTAATTTTATAATAAATCATGGAAGTTGGTTTTGTGTTTCTGACGTCTTAGTTCTTTTTAAAATAATAATATTATTAATAAATGAAGAACTAAGCTTTGATCTCATCCATGTAATTTATTCAGGGTATCTTAAATTATTTGAATTTAGAGGCTGACGAATCACTAATGTCTGAAATTATTATTAAAAAATAAAAATAAAAAATACATATTTTTATCAATATTAAAAAAAAAAGTTAAGCTACCTATTGAAATTTTTGGTGTTATTAATTCTTAATTACTTAAGTTTTTTTTTTCTCAAGAATTGTTGTTAATTGTGATGGTTTTTGTAATTGTACAATATTATTTCTAAAAGTACTTATTATTCTAGTTGTGTTGGATGTTTTTTTATCGACTATTTTCATATATTGTGTCTTTGTTGGACAATGAAATTGAAGACGACCATAACTTTTGAAACATTTTCTAGGAATTTGAAGTGAAAAATTAACAACAAGAAGCTATGATAGCCAACTTATCCAAGGAGATGGAACTAATTTTTTTCCCTTTTTTTTTGTGCAAATTTAAGATTTCTTTATTTGATTTTGATTTTTTTACTTCAAAGTGTCTAATAAACGATTATTTTTTTTAATTTTGCAGTTTAATATATCTTTGTGGGTCTAACATGTCTTTAGACTTTCACACTGTTGTGTCTGATAGATTCCTACACTTTCAATTTTATATTTAATAAGCAAATATTAGTGCAAAATGTAAAGAAACTTAAGAAAATACGAGAAATAAACAATTTGAACCCAACACTAGTGTTGTTTCCTTAAGATAATTTTGTTCTTTCAATGATCCTAAGGTTTATGAACAATTGTCTTCTAGAATAGGACAGATTACCAACCTGTTAGTGCAACACCTAATCATAGAACTCGATGAACAGTGGTATTTAAGTAATCATACAACAAAAGGAGAAGACAATTTTGAGGGAATATTTTTCTGTTTTCAATTACAAACAATGAATCCCGTATGTATAGACTATTTGTGGCCAGTCAAATAATCATACTTTTTCATGTAAAGTTATGTATTTTGATAAAAGAATAACATAACTTTTACAAAAGACAACATTTCATGAAAAGTTAGGATTCTTCATTTTTATTAAAAATAATTTTATTCATAGATTATAGCAATCCACTGCATGAATAAAATTTATTTTAAAGCATGCACTATTACTCAAAAAGAATAACTATGTCAGAATAAGTAGTCTAGGACTTTCAACTTTCCTTAGTAAAAATTATAGAGTTTACATAGCTTATCAGTAGCTATCAGTTCTCATAGATATTCTTTGAAATACTATTAGTTCTCATGTTTGTATTCATTTTGACACTAAATATTGCATGGTTTCATGAGTGTTTTTAGAGAATTAAGTTTCGAAAAATTTTCATAGAAACGGCTCTTTCACAGCCACATAGGTGACTTCTTTAAAGAGCATCCTGGTTCTCATTCTTATAAAAGAACTAAAGAGTCATTAAAAACATATTTCGAAATTGGCACTAATTTAATAATAGGAATGATTAGGAATTTATGATTTCTTCGTAGTGCTCTCCCAAGTTGTATACATAAATTTGTTTTCCTTTTCAACCTAGATCTTAGGATCTCCATTTAATTAGGTTGGGTTACTGTTATGTCAACTCTTATATTATAGGCTTCAAACTTATTCCTATTAAAGACATTTTCACTTGTTCTCTTGTCAAAGCTTTTGTAAGCGGATTCGCAATATTTTTTTTTTGATTTCACGTAATCAATTGATATAATTCAATTGGAGAGAAATTATCTTATGGTATTATGTCTTGATTTACTATTATATGTTACAAGTTGCACTTGAATTCATATTACATTGAATATTATCCACCTTTGGATTTCGAATAAGTAGTATCAAAAATCAAAATTTCATCACTTTATCCTCCTAGTACGAGTGTAACCCGTCATTTTTGATATCTAAATACTCGTATTGACGCTTTCCAATAAGTTTTTCATCGCAAATCTTCTAAATTTACTTATTGTATAGGCTAAGTCCAAAAGTAAGTAAATTTATAAAATCCATTAGACTATCATTTATACAAAATGCTCTAATTGTGCAATACTAAGTCAGAACCTTTTACATAAATGGAGGTTTAATATATATATCAATTACAGTTTCTCGTATTTAACATTTTTTGCTTTTGCAAAACACCCCCACAATTTCGGTTGAGAGAGAAATTCAAATAGGGTACGTGTCGAGCACTAGGGATAAGAGTAAGGTGCACGACCACAAACGATTAGCAATGTACGTTGCGCGTGCGTATGGGCGTGTCACCTCCAAGGTTGTATGGGTAGAACTTCGAGGGCTACAGCCTATCACTTGCGTCTAAGGGGGACAAACCTTCTGATGGAGGAGCAACCTACTGATTGTCGGAGTGTATTAGTCTTTTTCTTCCTCTTTCCCCTTCCTCACCACCCATATGAACTCTTACCCAGAAGCTTCGAGCCCAATTGCGATCTCCTTCAACTGATCAGAGTTGAATTTGGCCATGCTTCCAAAACAAACATACACAACCGAATTGGGTTTCTTAGAATCGAGCCATTTCAAGCACTCGTGCTCGTCAATGGCGGATTCCCTTCCTCTCTGGGCTTTCTCTTGGATTTCCTTATTGCTTAAAGAAAGTGGGCCAATATGCCACGCTTTTCTTCCCAACACATTCCTGTAGCAATCAGCATACTCTGCCTCCAGCTCGTAAAAACTATTCACAACAATCCCGTAACAATCGGATTCTGACTTTTTAACCGTCCAAAAAATCGGTTAGTTCATTTTTCACATTGGCTCGAACCAACTCCGGGAGCTGCAATCTGGTCAAAGTAATCTCTCCGGGGAGATGAGGGATGAGAAAAGGCTTAGTGTCGGATGAAACACGATTGTAAGGCTCGTGGATTCGCATGAGTTCAGAAGCAGAGAGGGAGAAAAAGCCGGTCCCGTGGAAAATGAGCCTTGGGATCCCAAATTTGTCAGCGACATCGTCTGTCCAAAGGAAATGTTGGGAAAAAAATAATATAGATCAATCGATTCTTTTTCTTCGAAAAGGAATTATTTTATTTTCCCATTCTACAGGCTAAAAACAGATAAGTAATAACAATAGATAGGGATAAAAAGCTTAACACCACACAGATTATACTGGTTCGCCCCTATATTGGGACTAGGTCCAATCTTCTTCAAAAAAAACAGGTCCAACTATAGTTGGAAACATTACATCTCACTCAAGATATTACTATCTTGCTTCTAAGTACCTTGACAATAGCTCCCTAGCATTACACAATTGAAAATATTCTCACTAAAACCCACAGGATACAAAATTCTTTTTTTACACACCCCAGAACCACCCAAATTTCCTTATTTGGACTCTGTACCAATAAAACCTTAACAAAAATATTTTAAGAGGTCAAATATCTCCATCCTTATAGGAAAACAATATTGGAAAATAATATCGTAATCCTTATAAGACAATAATATCTACTCCTTCCTGATTGGTAGTAGTGTTTGAAAATCATTTTCCTCGTAGGACACGGATCATCTGTTTTGGCTCCATTATCCCAACAGGAAGAACGTTTCGGCCACAAGGCAATGGGGGCGGTGCTGGGACACAGCCTCCTCAAATTGGGTTCGAAGCAAATTCAAAGCAGACATGAATTTGGGGAGCAAATCAGGGGTGAGAATGGAGTCGGAATTTTCACAACCATCTGGCGGGCCTACTTCTGCAGAAGGGAATTTGAGGAGCAGAAGCTGAATCCGAGATTGGAAGTTGCGAATTGATTTATAAATGGAGATGGAATTAAGAGGAGTTGTGACGATGGTGATCTTGACACCGCGGGAGGCAAAGAGCTTGGCCATGTTGACCATGGGGATGATGTGGCCGTGAGCCAAGAAAGGGAACAAGAACATGTGAAGCTGAGTGCTGTCACTGCCCATTACTACTGTTTCCATTGAAGAAAAATAGTTGCAGATCGTGTAGAAGACGACGATGGAAATGGAAGTGGGAATTTATAGAAGCTGAGAGAGATGAGTGGAATTGTTTCTGGGCCTTTACCGAGTAAGAAATTTGGGTTTTCATGGCATGAAAATTGTTTTCTAAATTGATTTTTCCCTTCTTTTTTAATGGAATGATTCATAGCAACTTAATTTTATAAATAAATAAATTTGGAAATTGGTTTTTTATTTTTGAAAGGGAATTTTATTAAGAAATAAACTTGCCATGTGGGCTACAATTGATGTTGAGAAACATGTATAAGTCAGGATGGAAAATTGAGAACCAAAAGGAAGAGGACACTTCAGCAAAAAGATGTTGCAAACTCCACACATCCAAGATTCAATTTAACTCATCAAATAGAGTTGTTTCTTCTCAATTCACCTGCTTGATGGCCGTTAAACAATCTGATTCTAAAGGATAAGGCAAACTGTAAACCTTCTAGAATTGCTCGAATTTCAGCAAGCAAAGGATTGTGCAAAGCAGGGATATGTACAGAAGAAGCCGCGATAATGTTGCCAAAAGAGTCTCGGATGATTATACCCACGCCGCGATAATGTTGCAGCATCGACGCAAAGTGAAACCAGACTCGACGCTGATGGGTTCCAACTGAGCGACAGAAGGTGCACGCTAGAAATGATAGGTCGCCGATTTAAGCCCTGTGCCGAGATATACGAGGAAGCATAATCTGAGATCCACACACATTTTGCCTTAGTAGGGGGAAGCTGCTTCGGTTGACGAAGAAGGTTTTAGTCATTCCACAAAGCCCAACAGATAATAGCGGTTAGATTTTTGTTTTCAGAATCAAGCTTTTCAATGGTGTCTGCCCAGATTTCTTTGAATTCTAGGTTGGAGTCACTAAAGGGAATAAGTTCCTCCGAATTGATGGTGCCCTCTTACAAAGGAAATTGGTTTTGTATTATACTAAGTAATTATATATATGCTTATGATTCCATTTACAATTTTAGTAAGGGATTTTGATTTTGATTTCAAAAAAATTTTGGTGAGTAGCAAGATTGTCATAATAATCATGCAAATTGGTTTTCTATTGTTGAAAGAATGATGATGAGTATACTTTGTTATATATTTTGATTCCTATACTTTGGTTTGAATTTATATTTATATTTTTCTTTTTCTAGTAATCTTTTAAGAGTTTGGGCATGAGGATTGAATAGAAGACAACGTGATGACGTAAGCAGTTGCGTCATGCAGCATGCCCGCTAACTTATTATTGATGTTCCGAGTAGAGTACCAACACACACAAAAAGTCAAAAACCCCACACTTGGGACCACAACCACGTGCCTTCTCGACGTTGACTGCTTTTTTTTCTTTTTATAAAATAAATTTTGGTCTCTTATTCTTGTGAATTTTAAAATCGGCATTTTTTTGTCCATGAGATTCAATATATATGCTTTGTTTTTTGTTCCTCTAAAATACTTATTCAAATTGAGATAATTGTTCTCGTTAATATACCAGAGATATTCTTATATGAACTTTGTTTGACATTTGCCAAAAAAATATGAGATTTTGTTTTGCTCTCCAACATAATGTACCCACTAGCTATCACCCAGGAATCTTTGTCCATATTTGAAACATTAAAAGCGTTCCTCATTCGATATCTTGACAAGGAACGTTCATTCCTCATTCTAGATCATGACAAGGAGTTCGTTCTTCGTTGGACTAGAACAGGAAGCTACTGTTCCTATGGATCTACATGCTACTGTTCCTATGGATCTACATTTCATGCTCCAAACTTCTTTGCGTTTGTGAGGGAACGCAAACAAAGTCTCACATTTATTAGAAAAGGGAATGTTCCATGATATATAAAAGAGGACAATTATCTCCATTGGTACGAGGTATTTTTAGTAAAACCAACAGTAAAGTCGTGAGGGTTATGTCAAAAACGGATAATTTCATACCATTTTGGAGATAGTTGGGGTCGCCATCGAGTGTAAAGGCAGAAGGGAGCTTGACTGCAAGACTCACCCGTCGATACACTGGCTAAGGCTGGCTTAGATGGACTTGACTTAGACGGCTTAATAGATGGCTTAATCTGCAAGGTTCAGATCGAAGGTCTTGGCGAGACGGCCCATGAATCTCGAGAATCGAGCCTGGGGCTTGAAGACCCTACCGCATTTCAGTCGCTCACACTAGTTCGACCTATAGAAAAGATCATCAGAGWGGAGACAACTCATTTATGATTCCAACCGAGAAGACTAGTAAAAGAAAGGATCAAGAATGTCATATATTTCAGGAGCTAAATCGGTCCAGCATCGACTCTTCTGGATCTCCAAAGATCAAAAAATTGAATAATTCTCCTGCATGAACGTCGACTTATGCTAGTCGTCGGCCGCCGAGTGACAAGAACAAGCAGGAGTCGACGGCTATTTTTAACAACTTCTAATTTTGATTTGGTATTTGATCATTTGTTTATCATCAGTTGATTGAGTGCCTTTTATACTTGACTATTTCGAGGACAAATAATACATTTGATGCAGACAAGTTTAGTCAACTTATTTCTAAGTTTTGTTAATTGAATATGTCTACAACTCTTCACTGACTGCATATTACTTAAAGTTGTCACTAGTTAGAGCATTTTTCTTCCTAACTTTTTTTTTAATTTATTTTCAGCTTCGTGCATTTGCTAATTCAAATTGAACATCGTGTATTGACACTCGATGTCTTTGTAGATGTCTTTGTACATGTAGATTGCGGGTTTTATTTTTGTGGACATGGGTATTAAATAAATTTAAAACCCCGCAAATGCTTGTAAATATTGAATTGATCAATTTAGAGGTCAGCCACTCTAAAAAAAATAAAGTAGAAAATGAAGTTCCTTAAAATGAAATCACATTCTTGAACAAAGAAAAATGAATCATATGTGGCTTATAATTAATATAGCAAATAATGCTATAAATGGGTCAAAATTTATGCGTATATTAATTTTTGGGAAATGAATTTGTAATTCCTCCTATATCTATAAATACATTCTTCTAAAGGTAGTCTTTTCAACGGTGTGTCTTCTGAATCATATTTAAGTTTGAGTACGTTTCATGATCTGCAGACCCGCTTTTACTATGTCTTCTCTGGTAATGTTCCCCACCTTCCAAAGAAACAATTTGGTAAAAAGAAACCCATAAGTTTTGATATGAAAAAATACAAGTACTGCTCTTTTGATGGAAAGGGAAAATGGGAGAGAAGAAGATTAAAAAAAAAAAAAAATTAAAAAAAGTTACCAGCTTCCCATCACAGTCTACCACCGGCAAACTATGGAACTTTGTTTCGAGCAACAGCCTATATCACAGTGAAAAAAAAAAGATATATTAGTTGCGTTACAAATTTGATCTCTAAACTTTTCATATTCATATAAACAAGGTTAAATAATATTAAATATTTTGTCAAACATTTTAAAGAAGTTTTTTCTCTCTCTTTTTTTCTAAGGATTGAAGTCACTAAAAATCGTGGAAGTTTTCTTTGAGAATTGAATTCACCATAAGCTGTGTGAGATTGAACACTTTATCCAAAGTCAAGATGCAACAAAACTGTAGCTACTAGATTATCACTTTATCCAAAACCAAGATGTTGATAAATTTTTGACCACTTGATGATACACTATGTTCAAGATTAATATGTGGCATATTTGTAGTCATCGAAATTTATTTGATGGCCAAGTATGTTTTGTGCAAGTGTGAAGTTTGGTGAGATAAAGATAGAGAGAGCTTCTTCCTATGAAAAATTTTGTTCATATACCTAATTCGTTTATGTGCCGTTTGATTTTCGGGAATGTAGATGATCGGCATCTAGAGATGCCTAGAATTTTAAATATATGAAATATTAGATGTCTGGCATCTTCAGATAACCACGTTAGTCACGTTTGTTTTGTAGGATTGTTAAATTTATAGAATGTTCCAAAAATACCCTCACAAATATTTATATAATTTATAAATTCATCTAATATAATAGATTTATATATTTGAATTAATTTAATATTTTTATTTTTTATATGTTATTTTGTAGAACAAATTAATTCATTATTAATTTAATATAAGTTTCATTTTCAACTTTAATAGTTTCAAAAAATGACAGTTATATAATTTATATTATCTTGGGTAAAATTTATTAATCATATCATCACATTATATTTTTTTTTAAGAGGAAAAATATCACGGGTATGTTAGCTGTAAAAAAATTGTTGTTTTACAATTATATATTTATGATAATAAATATTATTAATAATGTAATTCCTTCACAATATTAAAATAAATTGATATATTATATAATTTAATTGTAGTTTATTTTACATCTAAATCTAATGTACAAATATACTTATATAAAGTTATTTATTAAACGATGAGTATATTAATTTATTTTTATTATAAATTTAAAAACAAAAATAAAGAAATATTTTAGGAAAATTTAAAAAAAAATTGATGAGAGAAAATATATAAAGAAAAAAATAGAGGGCAAAAATGTAAAAGATGGATACCCTCAACAAGGGAATCTTGGAAACCCGTGTTTCAAAAGGGTATCAAAAAATCGTAAAATGTCTCTCGTATAGACATCTTAGGATACCCAGACATCTCGAGATACCCGAGTATGCAAAACAAACGTGGGAATCCAGATGCCCGTCTTACGGGAATCTTGGATTCCCACGAAACAAACGACCCCTTAGGGTTTTCCAAGTAAAATTATGTGTCATATTCTTCCCCTTCTTCTTCTTCATGACTTTTTCTCAATTTATTTTAGCTGTGATCCTACTCTATTCGATCTCAACCATTTTCACAACAAAGAAGAGTTAATAAGATTCAACTGTCAAGGATCTTACATTGAAAAGATAAAAATTCTAACAAAGATTTATAATATAAATGAGCTGCTCCTCTCATAACCAATAATTTTGAGATGAAATGACTACAACACCAACAAAGATCATGAGTTATCATGTCAGACTACCGGTCAAAATGACTCAGGACCATTTATGACTTTTTTTTCTTAATTTTAGAGACTAAAAATGTATTTTAAGAATCTTCAAAACACTACATTCAAATCTAAATCTGATTAACCAAAAAGTGTATTTTGAACTAAATTAAAATACCTGGCAGCATTTTCCAAGTCTGTGGTTTCACGAACAACCAATGGAGCAGGCGTCATCAAATCTCCAATAACTTCCCCGTTGGTCTTGCTTACCAATTTCTGTATCTCCTTGAAGCTCTGCCAATATTCAATCAAATTTAAAAATCATTCTAATTATTAACAATATATAAGTTAAATTGGATAAAATGGCAGAGTAAAAAAAATCTGACTTACTTTCCAGCTAATGTTGACATCTGGAAATATATTAGTCTCCCAGTCCCCACCACCTACACCTAAAAAATATATATATTAAACTATAATTATTTCAGTTTTTTAATTTCTGTATTTATTTCATTTTCATTAATCACTACTATAGTTTATTGAAATATTAAATATTTATGTACCTGAAATGGAGTCCACGGCTAACAAGTCGTAATCTGAAACAACACCCACCTGTATCATCAAATATAATCAATTAATAGTCAAATAAAGCATAGTTTAGTTGTAATTGACATATATTTGATTGTGAGTTCGATCGCTCACAACTAACAGTTTAGTCCCCGACCTTTAAAAAATGGTTCTAAAACATCCCTGAAGTCAAACTTCTATTAGTATATTTAACGAAATGTTGTAGTTTGAAGCATTATGAAGTTCACTCATCAATTTAACTGCCACGTCATTTTATGTTAAATATACTAATAGAAGTTGGACTCATGGATCTTTTAGAACTATTTTTTATAGGTTAGAGATCAAATTGTTCCGTTTTTAAACTTACAGACCAAATAGAAATTGGACTAAAAGTGTATTTTATAAAAAAACAAAAAAAACAAAAAAAAAACTTGTACTCTTGAAATAACTTATATTTAAAAGAAAATGAAATAGGGGTAAAATTACCAGTTTCCAGTCGCCGTCAACTACAGGGAACCCAGATAATTTGTTCTCTACAAGAACCTCCAATGCTGTTTCGTTTAAACACAGACTTATAATCAAGAAAAAAGACCAAATTCTAGCAGAAAATACAATAAATTAAATCATAATCCTAGATACCTTCGTCGATGGTCGTAGAAGGCTTCACGACCTGCAGATTCCCCTTCTTCGTCATGAAATCCCCAACCGTATACGATCCACTTCTTGACTGAAAACAATATCAAACCAATCATTTCAAATCTCAAATATCAAATCGCTGCAAAATTACAACAAAACAAACAGAGAGAATTTGCGTTTTCCCGAAACTTATGAAATTGGAAATAGATATATGATTCTAATCGACAGCGTAGCGTACCGGCGCAGAATTGGCGATGCGGTGGCCGGAAAGTGCCGAAACGACGGACGGAGACCGATTCGATGACGGTGAAAAGGCGGCGGAGGATCGGAAACGCCTCTGCAACGGCCGTGAATTAGGAAGAAGCGCGGGAGGAACATAGGGCGTGGAAATCGAGGCCATTTTTTCTTTTGCCGCCGAGATTCGTAAAAGAATTTTAAAAAATGATATTAATGAAAAATATTGAATTTATAATTTATTTATATAGAAGAGAAGAGGGGAACGGCGACCGCCGACTCCGTTGAAATGGGAAACGGAATTTTAATAAATCAAATTCTAATAGTAATTTGCTTTCGGGGGGAAGCTGAGCGAACGAGTGGGATTCTGCCACGTCGGCAGTAGTAGTTTCTGTTTGACTTCTCACGCGCTCATTACGGGTTTGAGGGCCCACACACTTGCCTCTCTCCTCGGACCTTTGCTCATCATTAAACAAGGTTTGACTTTTTTTTTTTGGATCGAGGAAAATGGATTATAAAGTAATTAATTACTCCGAAGTCCAATCAATTAATTCACCTTCTTTAGGCTCGTAGGTTTTTGGAAAATATCTAGAATTGTAGTCATCCACTAAGGATTCAAAACTATCGTGAATAATATTACTAAAATATCAAAACGTAAAAGTTTCTATCTTTTAATTAATAATAAATTTAAATATGTTCGCTTCATTCAAAATTAAATTTTGACAAATTTACAAATCAACTTAATATTTGTAATTCAGTTTGAATAGATTTAATTAATCAAATTTTGTGAGTGGTTAGATGCTATTTAACACATCTAATATTATGTTGTACTATGTGATATCAAAATTAATCAAAATGATGTTTTCTTTTACCAGTCAACAAACTAAATAGAAAATTCTAGAAGGAAAGTGTTTTTTTTTTATATTTATTTTATGTTTTCAAAAATCAAGTTCATAAATTGAACGGCAAGCAAATGAGGAAATTGAAGTGAAAAAGACCAATTTTTGTCATATTAGGGAAAAATTAGTTCCAAATAAAACACCAGTTTTAAATGTTTTGAAATTGAATAGTATATATGCAAGTTGCATGGTATTCTTTTTCCATACTCCAACCCTAGATCTGACTGTGTTTGAATTTATAAATTTTTTAGAGCCAGTTAAATAATCACCCACCTTTAATTTAAGTTTAGTTTCAATTAGTTTTTATAATTCTAAAAAATTTTAATTGGTTTTCATGGCATGAGATTAATTTCAATGTGCTTGGTGTAATTTTAAAATGTTTAAGTTGGTCATTATAATTTGGACAAACCTCACGAAAAGTCCTTGTTTGATCAAGATTTCAACTAAGTCTGCAAAATTCGACTCGGGCGATGACTGGTTCTTGAGGCAAGCTGACGTGCTAGCAAGTAGGATACCTGCAAAAAAAAAAAAATAAGCATTCCGACGCTAAAGTCAGTAGCTGGCTGATCTATACTCGAGAAAGAATATATATTTTTGCATACCTGAAAATGACGCAGGAGATCTCTATTTATAGGCTGAACTTCCAACCAGGGATCCGACAAGAGCGTCCAATGGCTGTCCAACAGCTCAAGAATCATGGCATGTTGTCGTAAAATGTGTCGAAGATCACGAAGTGCCCTTTGATCAACTCAGCCGATAACTCAGGTGACCGAAATGAAAGATGTTAGTTCAACTCAACTTGTAGCCAACGTAAAAAGTGGGTCATCTCACCTCTTTAGCGAGGTCTAAAGTTATCATCCTTTCAACGAATCTCTAAGTTGATTCATCACCTTATCAGAGGTTGCGAACGGTGTGTGAGAAATTAACCTCCAACAGTCTTCTTTTTTTTCTTTTTTTTTTTTTACAGATAGTTCCGTGAAAAAGAAAAAAAAAGGGAAAAGCAGAGAGCTTTGAGTGGGTAGAAAACTGTTAGAGAGTTTATAAAATTTAACCAATCCATAGAAAAGAAAAATTGAATCTACACTGAAACTATATGAATCAATAATTTGGAATTTAACCTAAAAAGCCCTTACATGAATAAAAGTGTCTCTAGAGAGAGTAGAATTAGTGATTTAAAAAAAGTTGATTTAAATATAATTACTTTTTCAAAATCATACCATTCAAGTGATGCCTTAAAAATCAATTTAAAATAATTTTAGAGTGTGTTTCGGAGTGATTTTAGCCAAAAATCATTTTTGCCATCATTAAAATCACCATTGATTATGTCTGGCAAGTTAAAAAATTGATTTTAAGAAAGTTTAAAATCACTCTACATTGATTTTCTTGGGAGGTGGTTTTGGAAAATCAATTATATTTAAATATCTTCTTTCAAATTCATTGTTAAGTGATTTTGACCATGACAAAAGTGATTTTATTTTTAGCCATGCCAAAATCACTTCAAAACACACCATAATTATTAAAGTTAATATTATTTTTTCGGTTGATTTAATAGAAGTTATTATAGCAATTTTACGACTTGAAAGTTTTTTTTTTTTTAATTTCATTTTAAGCTAATTCAATAATTTAATCAAATGGTTAGTCTCGAAAATTTAATACATAAATGTTATTAAGGACTTAATGCAAAAGGTATATATCACGAATATATTTTGGAAAAAATGGTATACTAACCAGTAACCACATTTCACTTCAAATTAAATACAGGCAATTCATCGAAGTTCCAAACTTACATAAAAGCAATATATAAATTCAATTCTCTAAAGGAAAGATATATATGAATGATAGATATTTTAATTCCTCTAAAAAAATGATAAATTCTAATAAATTCTTAACAAACAAGTTATGAGAAAAAAAAATCAAGTCAAGTAATTAGTACGCAAAGTCAATGATAAATTGATAATCATATTCAATAATTAAATTTAAAATAATATAAACAAAATAAATACTTGTGATAGGGGTTGAGAACATAGTATGCCTCGAACAATTTATTAACAAATTTATTGGGTTTTTTTAAAAAAATAAAATATACACATGAACGGTATGAAACCATTTTGGAAGAGATACTGATCATGTTTTGTAAAGGGCATCACATAAATGATCAGGTGGAATATCAATACGATGTTATCTTCCAYGTGGCCATGTTATCCGATTTTGCTATTCGATGCCCATTAATAYCTAATAAATACATGAATTAGTATTATGTTGTTATATTCCACGTGGATGCATTAGAGTTTATAATCGCAGATCGCTACATAAGGCGAGATGAATATCTACCTAACAAATGATATATTCCAATTCAAATATACCAGGTCAACCTAGTCAATACATAACAGAGTCATTAGTTTGATGGATTATTTAAACATTTTGAAAACTCATAAATTAAAAGTGCACAATTTTGAAGCACAGCGATGAAAGTGAAACTAGAACGTAATTTAGTCTCATATATAACCCTGCAAGAGACAAAGTCTCAAGTTTGATTGGGCATGTTTTCGGCCCATCCTCCAAAGGGCCCAAAGGCTTGGATGCGAGCTATTAGCTAATATAGCCCAGTTTAAGAATATTAACAAGTTAAAAATTTATAAAACTAGTTTAAATAAATTTTCTCACATTTTCTATCTTAAAATTTTAGCTTAAAGAAAAAAAAAACTCTTACACTTTTCCATTTATTTCAAAAGTATATTTCTTATTTTAAGACTTTCAATATTACTATTAACCTTTCATAAATATTTAAAAAATTAAATATCATTTGAACAAACGTTAGTCAATACTTTTAACGAACAATTGACATGGTAGAATTTGGATCAAACTCATCCTTAAATGTCTAGTTGTGCTATGTAAGTTCAAATCAAGGATATTTTAGATCAATTATTTAGGTTGAGAACAATAATAAAATTGTTAAATTTTAGAGGCCAAATTAAAAAAATATATTGATAGTTAAAAAAATGAAAAATATATTTTACCGTATCCCAACTCTGATTTTTAAAAAATCAAAATAACATTCATTTGAAACCAGGGGTGGAAAATGGACATCATTTAATGGAGCTTCATCTTTAAACATTTCTTATTCTTTAAAAATGTAATTAGACTTAAAATATATAAAATTGTCTATATTCTTTTTTCAACTCTATTTGTTAAAAATACAATCCATTTTAAATGGATATGAGGTTTTTTTTTTTAGTTACAAATGGAAATGATAAAAAGAAAAACAAAATGTTATAGGAACAATATTTAAGTGCTTACTGTGAGGACCAATCTTTTTTCGACACCCATTAAATAATTAAGTAGGAGAGAGAAATGCAGATGAATATATATATATATATATATATATATATATATAATTATCAAATGTTTGTTGAGATTACGTTGAAGGATAAATATATAGTATTCTTAATATTATAGCAGCACTCGCATAACAATAGAGTTGAGTTTTACAACTAAAATTATTTCGAAAATTAAGAATCATATTCTTCTTTTTTTGGCTCAAGTCATTTTAGGGGTTATATGCTACTCTTTTAAAGCTTCATCCTATATAAATATTCTTGTACAAAAGTATAGAGATTCTTATGCATAAAGAATAAACTCAAAAAGAGTAAAAAGACAAAGAAGATAGATTATTAAAAAAAAAAATAGACAGCAAAATGGAGTATTTGATTGGACAAGTTTTGAAGTAAATATTTTGAATCTAAGTTATTCCGACTTGTTTGATTACATTAAGGGYCCGTTTAATAATATTCTTGTTTCTTGTTTCCGTTTCTTCATTTTTAATAAAGAAAAATAAATTACATGACCCTAATATCCATGAATTCAAAAGCATGATAAAACAATCTTTTTATTTATGTTTTGGAACAAATTGGAAATGAGAASAAGAAAAAAGAAACTTTTGTTTGGGTTGTTTCCAAAATTTCTATACAATTTTGAGAATGTTTCAAAAAAAGAAGAAACAAAAAACATAGTTAGTAGTAAAATACTTAAGTTTCTTAAGAAAATTGGAACCGAGAAACAAGAAACTGGAACGTTACCTAATGGGCCCTAAGTTTCTTGTTTCTCATTTCCTATTTTTTATTTTTCGTTTCTTTTTTTCAAAAAAAAAAATATAACTACATTTAGTAATCCTTTATTGTTCTAAAAAAATTATATTAAAAAATAAAATTTTATATGAAATTTAATTTTTCACCTTAAATATATTTTTATTTATTTATTTGATATTTATTATATTTTTTTAATAATGCTTTTACCTATATATTTTATATAAAACTAGAAA